TTTTTTTTTTTTTTTTTTTTTTTTTTAATAATTCGTGGTTCTAGGAGAATGAAACTTTAATACAAACTTCTTCATGTGGGACTCTAAAATAATCATAGTTTGTAATCTGTGCATTGAATATTTTTGAGAGCATGCCTGTGACCTCTACTGGTATATTGGGTTTGGGTGCTACATGTATATATATCGCATTTAAAATGAGAACATACCTTTGGCCTGTTCTAAGGCTTCCATCCACATCTTTCTCTCTTTTGCTGAATCCGCGTCCAGTTCATATGTCACTCCTCCAGCAGTTACTTCAAAACTATGTAGATTTTGGTCTTCTGTCCCCTGGACCCTGGCATTCGTGATGTCTATTATGGCTTCAGGTGCATCATTCTCATTTTGCCCTCTGTAATTTTAAAGTAATTACTAGTAGAAATTTGTGAGGTGATTAACAAATGCACTGTCACCCATACGGTATATGCCAGAACGATTCAAGTGTCAGCAAGGCACACATCATAGGATGCAAGTTGAAATACTATATCTGTGGCAAATGGAACTCATCTTGGAATTTTCTCAAAATATTCACACACCACAAGGCTAGACAAACTGTTTTCAGGCTCTTGCCCTGCAGGGCTAGTAAGTCTGACAATTTACTTGTCCCACTCCAAATTTGGGGGAGTGGGGCTGGGCAAAATGAAAAAAAGGTTTGTGTGTGTGTGTGTGTGTGTGTGTGTGTGTGTGCATATGTGTGTGTAACAGAAACTGAATAGCCCAGCTCAAAAATTCATTTTAAACGTTGCTTGTTCTTACAAGTTGAAAACTCCCAAATATTTTTTAATTTTTAAGGAGGAGGAGGGGGAGGGGGCTCCTAGAAAACTTTAAGTGGTTTCTCCAAACATAAAATACAATAATTCTATATTTTTAAGACCACCTTTTTGTGGAACTCACAAGTGCTATAAATCTAGGACTGCATATTCGCCCTGTGTATGATTATTATCCTCCTCTGGGTGATATAGGCCTACTGATTTGAAAATTTAATTTAAAAAAAGAAAAATGAAAGAAATGAAAAATCTGACCTTTGCAATGCATGGCATGACAAAAGCCCTAAACTATTTAGTCACTTGTCAATGACCTATTGGTCAAACAGTGAGTGCTTTATCTCATATGTTAATGTTGACCAAACTGTCTTGGTGGCAGGGATACATGGCGTGCTAGCCTACCTAATGGAGAACAGTTACTGTTACAAATAAACGAAGAATAAAGATTGTTAACAGTACAGAGAGTCTTCGTTATAGTTTTCCTTAAAACATGTCTTCGGTATTGCATATATGCTGAAAAAAGGTGAAAAAACAGAATAACTTTCGACAAAAATGGCCCAAAGACACCTTGCTAACAGGCAATCTGCTGTCAAAGACCCAGGTGTGGCGGATCGAACGCTGTTCATGCGTGCCACAAGAGACGACCAAATTATATAAGTATTTGTTCATGCCGCTCTTTTTCACCCCCTGTGAATATTCTGGTCTTCCACCACATAAGAAAAGAATAAGAAGAACGTAGCCTACTCACTGTGGCAATCATAATGCACATATTTGCGCTTTACTGTCCGTGTCCCAAACGAACTTCCGGTCTAGTTGTGTAGAATGTTTTGAAGAGACTGCCACAAGAATACCCACCCCCAGCAGCATTTTCTCGCCTTTCGACCAAAGAGAGAGAGAGAGAGAGAGAGAGCCTACTCACCTCTGATGTCCATAGCATTTCAGTTTACAAGGTTCAAGTTCAAACCATTGCTCAAGCCAGATATTCCCATCTTTAATGCGAAGCTTGCCAGTGCATAGTGGCCGTGGCATAGCTAATATTATATGTTCCCACTAAGATCTCGGGGTTTCGCACTGACCAGGTAGTACTTATAGTAAATGGAATGTTTTATCTCATACCTATCAGTCTGTCCGGAGATCTGGCATATCAATGCGTAAGCGGTGATTATTACTAAAAATCCTACGCGCTTGCACAAAATAGTCCGCGACGTGTGTTTCGCGCCATATTTTGCAAAATCCATATCTGTTATGAAAATCCATGAAACTCTGTGAATAGCCCATTATTCCGCTTGAAACTTTCAAAAAATAAAATTTAGAACTTGATGTAAACGCACAATGTAAAATGAACATTTCATTTCCGTGGAAAAATTTGTATCAGCTGTCTAAAAATAGCACACGCGTTTTTCCCAAGCTGACCTTGGAATTTTTTACCCAAAAAAGAAATGATTGCAGAAAAAATGGACAAACCTAATTTTTTTATANGAAAAGATGCATATCCCGTCAGCATGTGTTGTTTGATTTATTGACGTGAAGGCAAAAAATGGTGTGTTTCTCACTGAATATAATATAACAGAATGATTAAAATACTGTGTGCTAGTAAACTCTTTTCCTGTTGTCAAATACACGAAGATAAGACAGCAACGCCAAAAAGCATTAGGTTTACATACTTTTTAATACCCTTATCTCTGCACTTGTTTTAGTCGTCTATACTTAGTTAAAATTGCGTTTTACAAAACTCCATGTAAGAGACTCCCGACTGGTGGTACGTGATGTGCTGGGCTCTGGTGTTGATCATGTGGTGGTGGTGGCATCTTGGGCCCTGCAATATCGTACTGGTCACCAGAACACCTGTACAGGCGGTTGATCTTGACCACGTCCCAGGTGGACATGCGTGTGTTTCCGAGGGTAACGCTTGGGTCTTTGGGGGTGATGGTTGGCTTTCCGTTCTTTGAGAAGGCATCTTTCTGCAAATGAGTGAAAGCACAGGGTCAGCCTAGCTCGTGGTAACCCCCTTTTTCACCCTTCTCTGTATCCCCTTGTTTGCTTCGGCAACCCTCATTAAAAAGCATGCGCTCCCAGGGATTTGCTTAACAACAATCTTATTTGCTTTTGGTTCTCACTTTCCGCCCTGAGCTTCGGAGATGCCTTGAAACAAACCTCTACACCGCACACCTTGCCGTTGCAAGTAACTTACGGCAAAGGTTTGTTTCATGTTATCTTTGAAGCGCTGGGTGTCACTTTCCAAAAAGACTTTAAAATCTCGCCCTTACATCCAGTAGTTAACTCATTCATTTGGTCACGTTCTCGCTCACACCCTGCCCCCACACCTCGCTTACTTACACTCCCTTCCTAGTCCAACCAGCCAAACCACTTGTTTATTCATGACGCCCCACCCATCCCTAAGCAGCTGGAACTGTTAACTGTTGTTTTATCATAACAATTAAAAAAACATAACAATTATGACAATTAAAGAAACAAGTTTGACAAAAAGAAAAATAAAGATTCATGTATAAAAATGTCACGGTTGCAAAAGAGTTGCAGTATAATACCTCGTAATGTAGGATGGAATTTACATCGTAAGGAGCTCCCAGGTCGTACAGGATAAACACCGGCAATTTTTCGAAATCTTTCAGATTACCTGCAAAGACAAAGATTATTTATGGTGGCTTTGGGCTTGTCTTAAAACACCGATTTCTGGGGTTTTACAGTGCCTTGCGTTTTACATATTATCTTACATTGAAAATGAAAGAAATTGCATTTTTAATCAAGTCCACAGATCAATTATTGATTTGCAGTCTAGTTTGATTCCGTGGAAATTGACATATTTACATGAAAGCCTATTTTTTAAATTTATTTATTCATTTTGTGAATGGTTTGCATTCTAAACATCCTTTAGATAATATTTAGATTTTCAACGAGTTTAATAGCTAGCCTCGCCGGGATAACGCTTCTGAGTATTTTATTTTTTTTTTTACTATTTTGACATATCACTTTCTAACAGAGAGTTCCTTATCGTTATAAAGCAGAAGTCGTTTGCATGAAAGATGAAAGTACGAAATTACCTGCGATTATTAATAAACTTCTAAAGAATGAAGTAGATTATCTAGGTCGCGATGATACCCTTTGTTACAAATATTTTTTTACCGTACTGCATGTGGATTATTCGTGAGCTTATATTATTAGCACCTCTATGCATTGTATTTCAAAGGCATTTTGATGCTACGTATATGGGATTTTGAGCACGGTATAAATGCTGTGTGAAAAGAAGATAACGTGATACATGTAACATACCCTGACGAATGTTTTCCGGGTGGATGTCTATGTATTGGTCTCGATCTGGACGACTATGCTCGTGCACGAACCCCAGCGCGTGCATAAGTTCGTGTATGATGAGGTGCTCGTACCTGAGACACCCTGACGTCAGGTTCAAATCCTGCTTGCCGCCTTTTCGGCCAAAGAACGAGTAACATCTAAACAGAAACGTATTGTTCAAACCAGGGCTATGTTAGACTGGAAATAGGTTTAAAAGTTTTCCCTTTTGCGCCTCAAACTTTCAAATTAGCCTTTTTGGCCTCAAAGTTAAATATTTACAGTAAATTGAAATGACTGGTGGGATTTTGCAATCTGTTCTGTAAAATTAAAATGGTGATTTGTGGAGTTTAAGACAGAGTACAGAGGTCTTCAAAATGATCCAGTTTTACCGGTTCCAACCACGACCTTGAACTTCGACATACAAGCTCAAATAATATTATACATTTATGAATAAAGTATGTTCCAAAAACTTTGTGGGGTTGGCAGAAACGCATTCCTTGCTTTTTTACTCCCCATGTAAAATATTTTCCCTTTTAACAATATTGAAGTTGGTGCTGGTCATTTGGCAGGCAACAACAAGCAAGTTAAGATATCAAAATACTTTACCTCTAATTCTCTAAAGATATCAATAGAATGAAAGCAATGTGCAAGCACAACATGAATTCGAATTCCCTTACTTTGATTTACTTTTACGTATAAAGACAAAGTCCGGGTGGTTGGTTCTCAGCATAAAGCGTATACAAGTCTGTCGTGATATGGTGAGCATAGCATTTTGGATGCTGATCAGCTCTCTGGATGCTGAAATAGAGAGCAAGGCAGCAGTTTCGGTCATAACGATCTGTCTAAATCACACGTACAATTTCTTCGTCACCAAAATAACATCTTTATTGAAAAAATACTATATCTAAAATCTTTTTTATTTATAAGATCTTTATTTAAAATTTGATATAGCAAAGTAATATGGTAGTTAAGGATCAATAGTCAGTGTTGAAGAGAACTTACAGAGGGTCTGGTCCAGTTTGACTGGTATAAAACCGCCTCTCCAGAGTTTGGTCGAGTCCGCAAGCGCATTACGGTGCTGAAAATGAATGAAGTCTATAATTACATATGTTGCACAATCCAGAGTTTCAACATACGTGCTTACGTATACCAATCATCCTATATAAAGAGGTTTTCCACTAATATCCCTGACACATATATACTGGACTTTATAAGAAGCAATGCCTACTGTAGCCTTTTAAGAAGATAATTAGCTTAGTTAATTGTACAGTAGAGTAATTTTTTGTAGCAGAACAACTATGGGTAAAGCTATCATCTTCGTTCAACAGTCAGAATTGTTTTTCTTCCTTTTTAATTTTCACGCCATTGGGTATTTAATAGGGGAAAATACATTATATAGTATGATTACATACAGTATATCTTTGCGTATACTACTGTCGGATCTTGGATATGAAGAATGGTGAGTCAAAATCCCCTTCTCTGCGATTTTCATTGTGCAATTTATGGTATTTCGTAATTTTTTGGTCCTAAGAGAGCACATTTAATCCCTTTTTGGAAGAGACGGAGCTGAATCTGCCATTTTGTTTTAAGAAGGTGGTAGGCCCCCCTGTCTCGACCTTTGATATACTCACAAAGGGGTTAAAGCCAGCAATGTCGCCTTCAAACAACCGAGGCGTGGTCTGCGGCCCTGGAGTGAAAAAAAATTAACGTAAAATTAACAGGAAGGTCAAGGTCATGAAACCGCACCTACACTGCATACTTAGCCTTGTGCTTATCTACTGAACTTAGGCATACTTTACTTACAGGCTTATCAGTATCTTTCCAGAAAAGTGGAAACGTAGAAGCGTAAACTGTACAAAGGGACAAAAACAAGTCTCTCAAACTCTTCATATTACAAAATGGCCACGTTTTGAACAAATACGTTAAATACTTATGATAACGAAAACATTTCACTTCGGTTGTCATGACACTAACCTTGGCTTGCGTATTCTAAACTTTCCCTTGGGACATACTTTGTTACCTATACAATAGAATATGTAGTTATAACGCTTTACNGCTTGCCATTTCAGATATAATATTTGGAGCACGAGGGGAAATATAATTTATTAAATGCTTATTTTACTGTCGGTAAGGTGTATTTTCCCCGTTTTTTTAATATTCAGTGACAGGCAAACTTAAGTCGCTAAAAAACAATTAACTTCTCAATACAGAAGCTTTTCGTAATTTTTTACAACGTTATACTTGTAGAAGATAAATTAAAGAACAAAACCCGTGATGATTGATTTTTCAATGTGATTAAAACGTTTCCACAGCTAGACGTTATGCATTTGTGACAGTAACGTATGTTCCTTTTTGGGGTTAGATGATGAATTATTTTTTATTATTCGTGGTTCCAGGAAAGTGAAACTTTAATACAAACTTCTTTATGTGGGACCCTAAAATAATCAAACATAGTTTGTAATATCTGCACTACATATTTTTAGGAACATGCCTGTGACATCGTTTGCACCTCTATATTGGGTTTGGGTGTTTAATGTGTTTTCGGGTTTGTTGGATAAATAGATATTTATACATATGAGAAATGAAGAGGACCAGATACGGTATAGATATGCAAATGTTGCCCTCATAAAAAAATTCTTTCCAGAAATCTCCATTGCGCAATTTTAATTTTAAATTATGCACCGCAAAAGCACGTCATCCACATATACTCGTATTACACTGTAGCAGGCCGGAAATTTCAGAAATGCAAACATGAATGTCCAGTAAAGACTTTTTTACAATCATTTTCTGTATTTTTCCTCAAAATCGTTGCCAGCCTGTATTAGCTCGTGACGAAAGTGAAACTAACTTACTCTGTCGCTGTGAAGTTTTGTTCCCGGTACCAGAAGGACGTTCAGTCCCAGCAACAAGACCACCCAGGCATACCCAATCCCCATAACTAGTCTATATCAAAAGATGGCCTGCTTTCTGACATAATAACGTCGATAAAATGTGCATGGGCGTCCCTCCACGCATTTAGTCAGATCAACTACACTACGATGATAGGCAAGTACATGTGCTGCCTTTTGGTGAAGACACCTGTCCTAAAACCTGCGTTCTCAAAAGATGGCCGGTCTACGGACAGTGCAGTGGCGGATTTAGAGGGGGGTCAGGGGGGTACTGACCCACATTCAGTTTCTGAAATAAAAGTCACACTAATATATCATCTCTTGGAATAAGAATTTTGTCTTGCTGATTTATATTTCTTAAACGTTCCAAATGGCACTGTTTGCTATTCAAAACACTCTAAGAAGGCCAAGGGTTGGCTTCGCATCCGAGGCCTGTCTCTCCTGAAAAATCGCCCCCCCCCCCCCTTCAACAAATCCTGGGTCCGCCCCTGAGGTGGATATTGTTGTAAAAGTCTTAACACATATATACATTGGAAGTTGGTGATGACTTGTATGATATATTCCTATGTTTAGTTTAAAAATATGCTGAATGGCATATACTATGATCACTACAACAATGAACAAAGCCTACTGAAAAAGAAGCTGGCAGATAACTTTTCTGAGACTTCACAAGACTATGAGTAATTCTATTATTCAATATTACGTGAATTTATTAAATTTTTCAATGAGTATGTAAAAAGTGCTTTATCTAAATGTGCAGTATGTACAGCGCCTTGTACTTCATACTTCTATAAAAAAAACTGGACTGTGATCGTCTTGTTAAAATTTAGCGCGAATGGCGCGATAGTTTGGTGTACCACCTCTGTATGAATAGCCTTATATTTATTTGACTTGCATTTTAGGCTTTATAATAAAAACGGAATCGTTTTATGAAGCTTTGACGTTCTCACCATTCTGATAGCGATCTAATAACCACCAACGAACCGACGGTAAACATAATCAACAGCTTACCACCCACGATACCAAACCTACATATGGCACCTGTTAACATACGGAATGTTCACACCGTTGTGGGACAGCATAGCACGTTCTCCATGTAATGCTGTGCTTCTGCCCGACCCTTGTTGGCGTGTCAAACCAGATGCCTTTGGTTTTGTTTGGCTCTTTGTTCATTTGGGGTCATGCTGTTGATTTTGCGCAAAGTAAGAGCCCTTATCTTTCCAAAAGTGGCTTTCAATAAAAAAAAGACACCGTAAGGGTATCGTTTCTAAATTTTGTTTACGAGTTATTATAGAACTCTTTTGAAAGGAGGAGAAAAGGGTTCTGGGCCTTTTTCCACACTCCCATTTTTTAACGTTAAAAAAATGAGCTATAAGATTGCTGAGTAAAGTTCAACTTGGTGAAACGAACAATAGTTCAATTATAATCGTATTTATTAGAATTCAAACAATCAAAACTGGCTTAACTCCTTACAACCGAAGATAAGTAACAATTGAAAAAAATCGCCGAATCCAAATTTGATTCATTTTCGTAAATTGCCACTCCTTTATATTAATATAATTACTGTTTAATTGTTATGTGAATTAGTTTTGAATGACTGCTTTGGAAGGGTTGGCTAATGTTACTCGCTAGCGGGGCATTATTCATTTTCCATAAAATATTCAAAGATAATTTTTTCTCTATCTTATTATATGCACCTTCCTGTGCAATGAGAAATGTGCCATGAATTAGCCAGAGGTATATTTGTAAAGATATTGTGAAAGTCAATCTGTGACCCTGACAGAGGGTAGATTACAACTGTGATTGGCTTGATTTGGATATAGTTGTTTTTCACCTTGAAAGTCAAACATATCTGTTAACGTCTTACGACAATAATATTTGAATAGTGGTCCAAAGAGTTTTAATTCCTAGACAACTGTGTGATTTTTTGCCCCACTCCTGCGACTACGGCTCCAGCTGCTCCTCCGACAGTCGCAACAGCTCCGGTTGCTGCCGTTCCAAGTCCAGCTGCACCTGCCGACTGAAGCAACGCCACGAGACTGCCCGCCGCCACACCTCCGCCATTTGCAATCGCTGCACTGCTCATCATCGAGGCGGCCACGGATCCGGCGGCTATCCCGCCGCTGGTAAATCCCACGACTGTTAGAGCGACAGGGGCTAAAGCAACAGCCCCTACCGCGCCGATGACACCTCCGACTATCATCGCGATTCCTGAACTACGTCGTGGACCTGAAAAGAAAGATTCATGAATCATTTAAAATTTGTAATGAATAAAACATTAATTTATTAATAATCAAATAAGAGGTCAATTATAATAAAAATAATTTAGCTAATTAATCAGATAAGCAATAAATAATAAGAATTGAGTTAATTCATAAATTTTAGAATTGAGCCGTCATGTTGCAGGTAAAGCCTGAGTGCTTGTTAGCTTTACATTGAATCAGCTCATAGGTTAAAATGAAGCTTTTGCGGACACAAATGTGGTTCACTAGACAGCAAAGCTGACAAATATACACTTAACAGAAACCAGAATAATTACCGTAAATGTAAACCGGTCATGCTGATTTTGAAAGCAACCTGCTTCTGTACTAAACAAAGCCACTCAGTAAAGTAAAACAAAAATACGGTATTGAAGTTAGGGGCGAATGTCATTTAAACAGTTAAAAAGCAAAATAATCACAGTAATTTTAAATCGATCATCATGGCGATTTTTGAAAGCAACCTGCCTCTTTACCAAACAAAGCCACTCAGTAAATTTAAAGTAAAACAAAAATACAGTTTGGCAGTTCTGGGGCGAACGTCATAGAAATTTTGGGAAAAAAATACCGTTCATGTAAACCGATTATGCCGAATTTCGAAAGCAACCTGCCTCTTTACCAAACAAAGCGAAACAAAGCCACTCAGTAAATATAAAGCTAATGAAAAATACGGTTTGGCAGTCATATGTCGGGCAGCGACGTCGACGTCGACAGAAAAGGCGACAATACGGACAGACACCGATCAAAATATACAAATTGTTTCACTGCAAGGTTGATATAAATTATTAAAATTCCAGCTGGAAAAGAATTTCGACTTGAAAGTTCCTAAGTTTGACCCCAACACAAAAGTCACAACACAACAAAAAACACGACAATCACAGGGGGATTAGGGATGTGTGTGTCAGAGGCAAAACTGAAATCTTGGCAGATTTTAAGTCCGCCAGAATGAAACTTCAATCTACGCTAGATGAAAATCTGCATAGTCAAAAACACATTCTGAAGTTGACACGGTAACCTATCACAACTCTTATCTAACTGATGCTTTAGATCACAACCCTCATCTTTTTCACCTAATTTTTTTCCTCACCTTATTGATCAAGTATGTTAGTACCTAAGATCAAAGACAAATTTCTTGGACTGTTTTATTGGTTTTCCACTCCTGACTGATCTGTTATCTTCTTCATAGCAGGGATCGTAACCATTTTCTCTTAACTTGATCATTTGCAGTATCATACAAGGAGCACAGAATCTTCATACATGTAGTGTTTGTCAAATTCAACAAGGCAAAGCCGCATACTGACTGAGCCAAAGAACCCCTGTGTAACCCTCCATATAAAAAGACCACATATTATAAGACTGAAATGGCTTGGCGTGAGCAGACGGTAGACGGGATATGAAATAATTCACCCTTTCCCCCCCCCTCCCCCCACATACCTGTAAGTGCCAACTATTGTAAAGGTGATATTACTTTTATACAAATGCAAACGCTGATTGTGTTCATTACATCTAAGACCCCATTCCCAGAGATTAGATCGATCTACTTTAGATCGACCTAACTCCCTGGGGGTTCACGTTAAATATAGATGTCAACCGAGCGGGCAGGAAAGTTAATTACCCCCTTACAGCTTGTAGTAGGCGGGACGGACATTTAAGCCGGATTGTCTGACAGTAATCTAGTGAGACTCCCCGCGGGGATAGATCGATCTCAAAGCTCTGGGAATACGCCCTATGTGATACACGTAACTTATATATCTGCAGTGGAACTGCAGCTACCACAGAAACCCAATAAAGAGGTGCATTTCACATGAAAATCATATCATAAAATTAAATTGAATGAATTTGAAGTTGTATTTAGTTTATTTTAATATGTTTTAAAAAACATACATGTGTATAGAACGAAAATCCACAACTGTCTCAATTTTACATCTACATCGATCTTTAAATTAAGTTTTTTTCCGCGTCTATAGTAATACATTATGTAAAGAGCCTCAATGGTAACTTATGTTACGGGGCATACAATTTTGATTTATATATCGCGTTCTGATATATTTTGTAGTGATTCAGTTATGGTAAATAATAAAAATGACTGAAAAAGATATTGAGATTCCAATATAGTTCGACATTTCTGATATAATATTTGGACCACGAATAGATATTATTTTTAAATGATTATTTTACTGTCAGTACAACGTATTTTCCCCCTTTACACAATATTCAGTGATAATGTTGACGACGTTATACTTTTAGGAGATAAATTAAAGAACAAAACCAGTGATGACTGAATTTTCGAAGTGAGTAAAAAGTTACCACAGCTAGACGTTTTGCAATTGTGACAGTAACGTATGTTCCTTCTTTGGGTAAGACGATGCTTTTTTTTTTTTTTTAATAATTCGTGGTTCTAGGAGAATGAACTTTAATACAAACTTCTTCATGTGGGACTCTAAAATAATCATAGTTTGTAATCTGTGCATTGAATATTTTTGAGAGCATGCCTGTGACCTCTACTGGTATATTTGGTTTGGGTGCTACATGTATATATCGCATTTAAAATGAGAACATACCTATGGCCTGTTGTAAGGCTTCCATCCACATCTTTTTCTCTTTTGCTGAATTCGCGTCCAGTTCATATGTCACTCCTCCAGCAGTTACTTCAAAACTATGTAGATTTTGGTCTTCTGTCCCCTGGACCCTGGCATTCGTGATGTCTATTATGGCTTCGGGTGCATCATTCTCATTTTGCCTTCTGTAATTTTAAAGTAATTACTAGTAGAAATTTGTGAGGTGATTAACAAATGCACTTTCACCCATACGGTATATGCCAGAACGATTCAAGTGTCAGCAAGGCACACATCATAGGACACAACTTGAAATACTATATCTGTGGCAAATGGAACTCACCTTGGAATTTTCTCAAAATATTTACACACCACAAGGCTAGACAAACTGTTTTCAG